GTGCACCCAGCCCTGGGAGCCAGGTAGTTTAACACAGTGTGTCGGACCAGCCCAAAGCTGGGCAACCAGACAGCAGGCATCAGTACAGGGACACCTCATGCCAGGCAGCACGGGTCAAGCTGATGCCCTAAGGATACGACTGCTTACCTCCCTGCTGGTCCTCGAAATGCTTGCGTTGCCTATGAGCTGCGCAGGTGCTCGAGCTCCGGGAGTCCCAAGACAAGACCCCAGCACTCACCCAGAGCCATGTGCACCGCACCCACCCTCCCCTCTCACCAGCCAAAATGGGGCTCGTGTGATAAGGGGAGACACCTTTGCAGCAGGATGTGGCTGTGTAGCAAGGACACCAGGACACAGAGCAAGTGCGTGCAGCAGGAGCTGAAGTTTTTCCATGTCAACAAAGCAGAGTTGTCCACTCACCCCCCTTTCCGTACCCCACCCAGCCCCACTGCCCGCAGCCACCCCCCCACGCAGGGGCTGACCTTCCTGCACTTACACCCAGCTATAGCCTTAACACGTGTTCGTGTACAGGGTGCGCAAGACCGGAGCACTTCAGCGGACAGAAAGCAGAGCTGGGAGCATCCCACCCCCGTCGCTTCTTCCTTGGGACCTTCTGGCATCTGCCGAGCCCAGGCGCTGCCCAGCTGGGACCCACAGTCTGGGCACACACAGCTTTGCCAAATCCTGGCAGACTTTTTTTTTGCTAAGAGCTTCACTAAGCAGCCTGTGAACTGACTTAACAAGTATGGCAGAAATATGCCACTGTTTCAGACGAGAACTTTTGTGGCACTTGTGAAGGTTATTTATAGCCTCAAGCAAGCAATCCTGGGCTAAATCACACTGCAGCTTTGCTCCAGGCTGAGCAGTCCTGACAGAGCACACCATACTCCAGAGCTGCCAGTACAAACAGCCCCCAAATAAATCTGCCAAGTCTCTCCCAGACAGCTAAAGAGGTGCAGAGCTTCACACAACCTGTCTCTGGCTTCACAGCCCTCTGGGAAAGGGAACCTCGCTGGGAAAGGAGCCTGAAGCAGAGGATGAAAACCGAAGACCCCGATCTGAGCTGCCTGCAACTCAATTCACTTCAAATGCTTTTATGTACAGCCCCTATATACATAAAAATGTACACAAGAGTGGAAACACATGTGCAGTCACTGCTTAGTGTTCACCTGAAGCTATAACCCTTTTCCTGATAAGGGAGTTATCTTTGCAGCAACCACCAGGCTCTGCCAGTGCTCGCAGCCTTGGGAAGGCGGTGGGCAGGTGAGCTGGAGGAGTTCATAGGAAGGGACTAAAATCTCCTTCATGTCCTATCTCCAAACATAGACAGCAGCAGATGCTCGGTTCAACTTCAGTTTCCCACGCACAAAAGCAGAGAAAAGTACTGACAATCATGAGAGAAAATGCTTGGTTGCCAAGATCCCTTAAGGGGAAAAAAACCCCTTCACCACCCAAACCCAAACAACCCACCTGCTGCCCAGAAGAACAGCAATCCTCCCAAACCGTCAGTCCCACATTTATCTGCAAACAGGTCTGGTCTGAGGAACACCAGATTCCAGCACATGTCTTGTCCCAGCCCACGGCAGTCTTGAACCGCCCGTGGACCAAGGGTTGCTTGGACAGCCCCTTCTCCCCTTGCCTGCAGATGGGGGAAAAGCAGAGAAGGTCCTTGCACCCATCTGCCCCTTCGCTGGGAACCACATACATTAGGGCACTGCAAATGGATTAACAAGTCTTGGGACCGAAGGATTAACAGCTCTTTCCAAATAATAGGTATTTGCTCTGGACCTTGCTCTGGACCACACATCTCCAGGGCAGGAGGAGAGCCCAGCCCAGCCAGCTCCTCAGAGCGGCTCTAACAGGGGCCAGTAACACCTTCCCCACGCGAACCCAACAGCACCCAGCACCCCTGCACTCAAACAGACGGGGGTTTGGCACTCCAGAGGCAGGCTCCACCACCCCATTTAATTCCCTCTACATGCTGATCTCTGTGGAGGCGTTGGAGTGGCCTGAGTCATGATTTCTGAATGCGCAGAATTGCTGGTGTTGCACAAGGTGGCCCTTGGGTTTTGTCCTGCAGCACCAAGGCTTTGGGAAGATAAGGAGTAAGCTCGCATTCCGCTCCTCCTCTTCCGGACTGCAGGAGCTGTGCTGGGTGGAGAGGTGGAGGAGGACAGGAGGTGTCTTTACTCTCTACGTACCCATTTATTTAACCAGAAAACCACTGCGCAAGTGGAAATTTCTGTCTGCTCCCCTGTGCCATGCTGCAGCTCCCAGTTCTTTCATCCGAATGCTTCAGCTAACCCAAGAGGCCAGGCTTTTGATTTTATTCAACAATTCAGACTGCAAGATGCAAAAGAAAAAGAACGCCCTGCCTCCCTTCGGAGCCAGCTCCTCCAATTCCCAGCAGCCTGGCCGAGGCGCCTCTGGGACACAGAGGAGTTTGGTGACAAGAGAAGTGGCCAATGAAAACAGATCCAAAAGTGTGAAATGCATTACTATTCCTAAAAAGATGGAGTGGGATTTTCCAACTATTTATCTCCAGAAAATGGATTATCATAATCCTTAGAGGACACTTTGCTCAGACTCAGTGTCCCTGTGCCAGAGCATATGGCTACAAGAGGCTTCAGTGGGGATGAGCAGCACAAGTCTCCCAATGGCATCACGTGTGACAGCACAACTTGGTTCAGAGCGAGTCCATCGCTCTGTGCTTGAAAAGGGCCCAAATCCTGACTGCCCACAGCCACCCACCCCAGGATGCTGGGACTCCCTCAGAAGAGGGGCAAAGGGGGACAACAGCATGAATGCCAGCAGCTACTGATGAACCAAAACATGCACTACATCCACTACATGTGCCGTTCAAAGACAGCAGCATACAGAATAGGTTTGAATGTGAAAAGAAAATTAAAAACTAAAACAATAAATCAGCACATACCGACTCAGGCCTGCATTACCCCCCTGCAGTGAGCCCCAAGCAAGCTCGTCAGGAATCCCAGGCTGCCGGAGCAAAGAGCACTGATCCAGCTGCTGAGGGCTGTAACGCCAGGATCCCAGCCACCCGCGCTATTAGCAGTCCCAGGAGGCTTTTAGGAGACAGGCACGCGAGTCCTGGCGCCCCAGATGAGCATTTTTCTTCTTTAATCTTCCCCGAAAGTTCTGCTCTAAATCACAGTTCCTCATTTTTGTGACTCGTGCTGGGTGCCTGGCTGAAACAAGAGCCATGCGGGTTTAAGCGCTCGGGATTCTTGGGGATAAAAGGAACTAAAGGAGCGTAAGCATTTAATTAATCTCCAGCAATCTAATAAAAGGATGGAGTAATTGCTTAAGCCATCTGCATTCTGCATCTGGCATGAGGGGCTGCTGGAGAAACCCACAAATTCAGAAGCTGGGTTTCATACAGACTGTGCTTGGCGTTAACGCATGCCACAGGATACCAAACAAGAGAAAGAGGAGCTAACAAAGACCAATACGTACCACCCCATTAATGCAGCCAGACCAGCAGCATGGAAAAGAGATGAGCCATGAGCAGTGAGGGGTAACTGAAGCCCTATCCCACTCCTCACCCCCCAAGCCAGGTCCCCCAAACCTGGCACGGAAGAGGGACATGGGATTTAGAAGGGAAGTGCTTTGCAGCCTCCCCGCAGGTGAGGGGTGAGCAGGCGCTGGCAGTAAAACAGCAATCGGCTCCAATGATCCAGGAGCAAAAAGCTGCAAAGGTGAATTTGAACAGTTTTTCCCAGGAAACAGTTGCAAAGCAGGTTTAAGTTTGCTGTGTAAACAACAACTCTGCTGTTTTGCTCTCTGCAGCATGGTGCCTGCTGTCGGGCAGGCGGTGGCCTCTGCAGGGGAACCCTCCCAGCTCTGAGAAAAGGGGGAAAATAACACTTCGACACCCTCCAACGAAGCACAGCCTTGCCCCCAGGGCACTGCACACAATTAGATACCACATTAGTGATTTTTTTCCCCCTGCCAGCACATGTGCTCCAAGGACAACGGTGTGCGGCAGATGCCTGCTTCCCCGCCACTCAAAAATGTTTTACACCAGGTTTTTTTCCAAGTCAACCTCACTTGAGTATCTCGTCATACTCAAGTATACAGTGATAACTGTATCCCCCAGGAACATTGCCCGCAAGGGGGGCAGAATTTTACACTTCCCTTTTTCAGATTTCACGGCCAGCTACTTCCCAGTGTACTGCCAGCCAGTGCTACCTGCTCGGGGCTGGACAACGGCAGGCAGGTAGCTTGGCTTTTTCCCAGCCTGCTGCGAGACTGCAAGCCCTCAGCCTTGTGAGAAGCCACAGCCTGAGTGAAGTAAGAGACTGAAAGGTCCCAACAAAAAAAAAAAAAAAAAAAATCTAAAAAAAAAACCCAAAAGAGAGCTTCCTGCCAAATCCACTAGAAAGAATGGTTTATATATGTAACAAGAAATAGCAAGCTTTTATTTCGGGCAGGCGGCCCTGACCTCTTGCACCACACCGCAAACGGCACGCAGTTCCTCCATCTGCTCACACGATGAGTTTGTCCCATTAAAGGAGCACCAAGGTACAAGGCATCCTGCAGACACCAACTGTCCCCCACCACGCCGGCACTCCAGCATCACCCACAGCGCTGGAAACGCAGAGCAAAGCCCGAGCCCTCCGCTCTTTCCTGGGAAGATGCACACAAACCCTGGCTCTCCCGGGCCAACGTCCCCAAGCAACACCACACAGAGCCACGGAGGGATGCAGGGCCAAGAAGGGATGCTCGGGTGAAGCAGCAGGGTGATCCCGCTCCAGCTGGACCCATCCGACCAGCTTCAACACCCTTACAGGATGGGAGGGAAGCCTCACCCAACTCTTTGCAGCTGAGTTTGGGGGCGAGCAGGCAACGCCAATGGGAGGGAAAGTGGAGAAAATCCACGGCTATGCGAAAAGAGAACTGGAAAACAGGGAATCCCGGGGGGCTGGGGTGCCGGCGTTGGGCGGGGACCCCCGCGGACCCTCTCCGCGCCCGCTGCCCACCTTGGCCTCGAAGCAGATGCCGTGCTGGAAGGCGTCCTCGTTGTGCAGGGGGATGCGGAGGTCATGCCGGTCGTCCACCAGGTT